AAAGGTGGCGGAACTCAAACCTGGCCACGCCCTCATCAAACCCTAGGACCGCCCCTTTAGAGAACAGGAATGCAAGTAAAATTTGGGAGGGGCTATTTCCGGTGTGGGAGGGGCTATTTCCGGTGCGGCCGGCCCGGAAAAAGGTGCCGGAACGCGGTTCCGCCGCGTTCCGGCTGAAAAAAAGCCCTGCATATACATATACATACTTACAAAACACAAAACACTAGAGACTCAAAACACCACTTGCTAGAAGCTCATAACACTAGAGCAGTCACTTAAGACTAAAGGTCTAGGCAGATCAATCTCAGCCCAGCCAAGATTGACTATAGGAAAGCCAATGATTCAATGCCATGCACATGAATCTGTGAATGCCTGGCACTATATAGAATTAACAGGATATTAAGGACCTTCTTCAAGAAATCAATAGGACTGTAGAAGACAATATTGGAAATCAACTCAAGACAGCTCACACAAGTGGCATATAAAATGTGACATATATCAAGTGATTCACTATCTCCACTGCTGTCCTGCATAGGCTTGAACCACAATCACAATGACTGGATCTGCCATCAGTCACTTTCTCTACACGGATGACATTAAGTTGTATACTAAGAGTGAACAAGACTTCATATTGCTGATACATCTGACACAGATCTATAGTAAGGACATTGAGATGATATTTGGACTGGATGGCAACCAAGAGAGAGAAAGTAATTAAAATCGAAGGGGTGGAACTACCAGTGGGCCATATAGCAGACATACTGACCAGTTACAAGTACTTTGGTATTACACAGTCACATGAGGAGGCAAGTAAGCAGCAACATCCAAGTACCACCAAAGGGTAGTACAGGCCTTGAAGAGCCAGCTCAAGGGAAAGGATCCACACCATCAACATATATTTCTGACAATCATCAGAAACCCTGCCGATACAGTGAGCTGGCCAAAGGACATGGAAACTGCCAATGTGAAGATCCAGAAGTCTTCACAATGTACATACATTTCCAGCCAGGTCCAACATCCAGAGACTGTACACCAATCAAAAAGAGAGCAGCTGGGGTCTGGTGTGCATCAGAGCCACTGTTCTGGACAAAATCTAGAGCATCCAGGGATACATCAATAAGACGACATCCAAGAATGAGCTACTAAGAGAATGTCTCAGGTGGAATGTGGAAAGAAGATCAATGTGAAAAGAAGATCAAACAGAAGTGCCATGGCAAAACAAGACCTCCTGTATTGGATGTACTATCAACAGATAGCTGAGGTGGCTGATATTGAGAAATCCTGCCAGTGGCTGGAAAGAGTTGAATTAATTATCACTGCCCTGAGGCATTGATCATAACAGCACAAGAACAACCACTAAGTACCAACTCTATAGAAGCAGGGGTCTACCACACTGCACAGGACTTAAGGTGCAGATTATGCACAGAGGCTTCAGAGAGAGTCCAACACTGTCTCTGGTAGAGTGTAAAATGCAGACAGGAACTGCATACATTAAAAGATGCAAACCAAGTAGCTGGCATTCTGTAGAGGAATATCTGTACAGTGTATGGACTAGAACCTCCCATGTCTAGATGGAACATCATGGAGAATAACAGAACTAAGATATTGTGGGACTTCCAGATGCAGAAGAACAGGCAGTATGGCCAGTCAATCATGGTAGTAGACAAGGATCAGAAAACAGTTGTGGTGATAGATGTAGCGATGCCAGGTAATGCAACATCAGGAAGCAGTATGAGAAGCAGATTAGAAGCTTGAGAGATACCAGGACCTGAAAGATGAACTAGAAAGGGCATGGAAAATAAAGGTCAAAATGGTTCCAAGGGTAACAGGAGTACTCAAGGCTGTGACTGCTAAGCTGGTAGAGGGTCTTCAACATATTCCAGGAACAACATCAAAGGTCTTTGTCCAGAAGAGTGCAATGTTAAGAACAGCTAAGAACCCTCAAACTCCTATGAGACACATACTACCTATAGGTGTGAGAAGGAATATATACCCCTTGCTCAAGCAGGAGACCCTATACCATTTCAGACAGATGGCTGTCCAGTCTTTTCTTAAAAACCTCCAGTGTTGAAGCACCCACAACTTCTGAAGGCAAACTGTTCCATTGGTTAATTGTTCTCACTGTTAGGAAGTTTCTCTTTAATTCCAGGTTGCTTCTCTCCTTGATTAGTTTCCATCCATTGTTTCTTGTCTTGCTTTCTGGTGCGTTGGAAAATAAGTTGACCCCCTCTTCTTTGTGGCAGCCCCTCAAATATTGGAATACTGCTACTATGTCTCCCCTATTTCTTCTTTTCTTTAGACTAGCTATACCCAATTCCTGCAACCATTCTTATGTTATTGTCTCCAGGACTTTAATCATCTTAGTTGCTGTTTTGCACTTTTTCGAAAGTCTCAATGTGTTTTTTGTAATGTGAATGCAGTATTCCAGGTGTGGTCTTACTAAGGCAGTACTAAAGCAGTACTAATACTTCATGTGATTTTGACTCTGTGCCTCTGTTTATACAACCAAGGATTGTATTAGCTTTTTTGGCTGCTGTCGCACACTTCTGGCTTCTGTTTAGATGATACAGTTACTAACAAAAGCTTATCAAGAGATGAGTCTTTACAGATTGTCTAAATGCTGAAAAAATGGAGGGGCCAAATGCAATTTCTGAGAAGTGCATTCCACATACCTAAGAACCTGCCTCCAGAAGCAGTGAATGCTCCAACACTGGAAGTTTTTAAGAAGAGACTGGACAGCCATTTGTCTGAAATGGTATAGGGTTTCCTGCCTGAGCAGGGGGTTGGACTAGATGACCTCCAAGGTCCCTTCCAACTTTATTATTATTATTATTAACAAGTCCTCTTCCCCATTCTTGAGACATGGTTTTCTGACAGTGGAGCACCTTCAAAAATATTTTTCCTTTAGATCTGAGCAACTGGACAGGTCCATAAAGGGAGAGGAATTCCATTAGTCAAGTCATAAAGCCATTTGGACTTTAAAGTCAATGCCAACACCCCATTTATTTACCACTGTGAGCAACATACAGTATATCACAATGATTTAGTAAAAGCCTCAGTAGAAGTGTCATTATGATCCCTTAAAGGACCGTTAGGATGCTTGCTAACTTTTGTTTATTCTTATGCTCCCCATATTTTATTTGAGCATTCTTTCAATATTTGGCTTTTAAAAATTTACAGTTAACTCACTTTTATCCCATTTCTTTTCATGATCTGAAAATTTAAAATAAAAATGCATATATGATTAGAATACTCACTGGTTTTCTGTAAATCAGTTATGTTCCGATACAGGTATCTTTCAAACATTAAAACAATGAGGTTATTTTTTTATTCCTCTTTTGGTTTTTGATAAGAGATGTAACTCATTTTGTTTCAATATCTTGTATAGTATAGTGTAAATACTTTATTTATTTGGAAAAATGAGTAGAAATTTTTGCATCCAAATCTTCTGTTATTTGTCTTTTCTTAATTTATCTTTTAATTTGCCGCTAGGACAAATTTTTGTGGTTTAAAGTTGGAAAAAGGAAAGTATTGGGTTACTTAGAGATGTAGGCTAACTGGTACTTCCATTGATGAAAGTGAATTAAAGGCTGTTTTAAATCCAGTTAAGTCATCATATTTACAAAAAGGCTAACTGCAAAGGTTTATCTAAGCATTGTCACTTAAGCAATAATCTAGATCTTTTAGCATTTATGCCTATTGAGCAAAATATCAACCAAAGGTGAGAATTCATAAATGCATACGTTCCTCCAGAGAATATAGAATAGAATTGAATACAGTATTTCGGAGCTGTGATGTGCACTAAGACATATCAAGTGTTTCAGTTAATTGTACAATAAAACTTTGGTTTGGCAAACCTTGATGCAAGAGCCTTTAGTTGAAACAGATAATATAACAAAATTTATGCCATTTGCATAAATGATGTCACAGATAATCAGAAATAATAGACACCCTCTCTCCCAATTAGTCCTAAAATTAAGTTTGATATGTACAAGGAAATATAAAAGGAAATGTAGCACTGTTAGTCATTGATGAATATCTACAGATAGGTTTGGAAAAAATACAACATCCTTGTTTCATACAGTAAATTCAAGAATGTATACCCTCAGTAGGTGGTACAACTAAAAGAAGAGCATTTGATGTTAGAGATTAGTATTACTGAGATAAGCATTGTCTTGGAACGGAATTTAGTACTTAAATCAAATATCAGTCTTATACATGTACTGTAGTCCTTGACTTATGGCCACAATTGACCCCAAAATTTCGGTTGCTCAGTGAGTTTCGCTCCATTTTATGATTTTTCTTGTCACAGTTGTTCAATGAACCAACGCAGTTATTTAGTAACCCCCTTGTTAAGTGAATCTACTGTAGTTTTCCCATTGACTTTGCTTCTCAGAAGGTCGCAAAAGATGATCGCATGATCCTGGGACACTGCAACTGTCATAAATATGAACCAGTTGCCAAGCATCTTACTTTTGATCACGTGACCACGGGGATGCTGCAACAGTTGTAAGTGTGAAAAATGGGCATAAGTCCCTTTTTTCACCACTGTTGTAACTTCGAACAGTCACTAAATGAAATGTTGTAAGGCGAAAACTATCTGTAATAGATCTCTAGTTAGAATACATTTCTAAGTAACCTAAACAAAAAAAGGAGGGCTGGTCATATTTTGTTCCTCCGTAAAATGTAATATCGGTTGTGGTGCTAAACTGGCAACAGGTTCTAATCTATTCTCAGCCAAATCAGCATCCTGGATGACTTTGGAGGGCTCCTTCTCTCTCTCTCTCTCCCTCTCTCTCTCTCTCTCTCTCTCTCTCTCCCTCTCTCAGCCCAACCAACTCACAGAGTTATTGTAGGTAACAAGGGGAGGAGGAAGCATTTGGTATGCCATCTTCAGCTCTTAAATGTAACCAACTATAAATGCAGAAGCATCTTTGGGGATATAATATAACTATTGAGTCTTAACCAGTTTATTCAATTGAATGTAGCCAACAAATTAATGGAAGTAATTTTTGTGGGAATAAATGAACTGATTACCTATTTTCGAATGTTTTAAACAGAATGAAAGTGCCTTTGTAAAAGAAAAGGAGATCTCAGCTGAGCTTGCAAATGTCAAGGATGAAGTTGGTAAGTAGATGCTAAACAAGCAGTGTTAAATATATTCTTTGCTGGTTACCATTTTTTTAAACAAAAAAACCCCCACAACAACCGGATTCTTATTTCTTGTTCTGTGAGATGAGATGAGGTGAGATGAGATGAGATGAATATATCAAGTAAGGTATCATCTTAAACCTCGAGGCAGGTTTTTATGGTTGTCAGGGGACAATAATTTATTCTTAGTGGTTGCAAAGACAGGTTCATAACCATGCACAGCAGAACTTATCATGCATTATCTTTAGTGTTCTCAGATGATTACCTGTAAAGCTATAATTCCTGCTTTTCAGCTACATTCTGTATAAATATAATATATAAACAAATATAAAATCCCAGACTAGAGCATTCAGTTTTGTAACATACAGGCATAATTAGTTCAACAATCAATAACTAAAGTCAAACTGCATTACTAATCAATATGGAATGGGAACTGTGGCTAGTATGATCACCCCCACCCTCACTTTTTTTAACAACAGCAACAACAATAAATACTCTGATCTGAAGAGCTGTTGCCATCTTTACTATCATTCAATTTAACATATTTAGGAGTCAAGGGGAATTCTGAGGTAAAAATGGTTGATGATAGATCTGCATTGCTTAGTTTGCTTCACAAGCTTACAAATAAGAAAGTAGCAGAAGTATTATGAGCAACAGTGCTTGTGTTAGCAAAGAAATAGCACCACTATTTTAATTTTCTGAGACAGAGAACTATCATGGTGAGGCTAGAAGCAGAACATAATTTTAAATCAAGCTCCAGTATTTAATAATTTTCACTGAGATATAAAATGTAGGACAAAAATATCCATATGTAAAGGATTAGAGTCTTTGCTGAAATTACTATTCATTCTTATAGTGGCCCATATTCCTGATTTGCAATTATGGTGCACAAATAGAGGTCCTGTGCACCAACTAAAAAGGGTTCACACAACTGGGAACAAATGCAAAGAAGGTCAAAAAAGGGCAGTCATTAAGAGACTGGAAACCTATTCTTGTGAAAAGAGACTAAGGAAGCAGGGTATGTTTGCCAAGAGAAATGGCCAAAGACCAGGCTCAGATTATCCCTCTTTGGACACATTACAAAATATCCGGTTCTCTGGGAAAGGCTCTAATGCTGGGAAAGTTGGAAGAAAAGAGAAGAAGAGAATGACCAGAAAAGCAGTAAAGTGGATGGACCCAGTTACAGTGGTAATGAAGGCATCGTTGAAAGACCTGAAGGACCAGGTTATGGAACATCATCATGGAGAAAATTTATCTGTGGAGTCATTTGGAATTGAAAATGACTTAATGACACCTAATCAAGGGGAGTTACCAGAACTATCAGATACAGAATACATTGGTTATGGTGCTGGACTGGTAGCAAGTTTGAATTTATTCTCAGTCAAAGAAGCTTCCTGAGTGACTTTGGGCCAGTCTCTTTCTCTTAGCCCAACCTATCTCACAGAGTTATTGTAAACAACAGTGCTAGTAGGAAGCACTGTGTATGCCATCTTCAGCTCCTGAATATAACAAAATATTATCCCAGAGTACAGGCATGAAATAATAAGATACATGAAGGCAGCTTCTTGTAGAATGTTGGGAAAAGTGACTATAAAAAAGCTTATATTATCAAGATTGCTGGTGAATTTATCTCCACTGGTTTTGTTCAATCAAAGGGATGCTTTAGTTTGCGTTTCTACACTTGGCAGAGAGTGGCCTAAAGGCTCTGTCTACTTCTTTTATTCTATCTCATATATCTTTGCCCCTTTTTTGTGCAAAAATCAACTCCTTATGCTGCGTAGTCTGTAAGTACCCAATCGACATGATCACCATTCTACAATTAAAAGAGGAGATATGAAGTGGCTGCTCCAACATATATGAATTCTGTGAAACCCTGTGTTGTATACTGTACATTCAGTCTGAGGACTGAAATAAATATCTGACAAACATATTTTGAATAAGAGAAGTAAACATGAGTGAACAACTATTGATTTCCAAAAACTGAAAAAATACTTTTTTCAATGATCGTAGGATTTGTCAATGAGAAAACTCATTAACTGTATTGGAATCTGAGGATCTGGAGATCTGAATGCTAAAGCAAAATATTATCATGCATGCACATGTGTTCTTGTCTCCTTTTGGATGCAGAATATAAAATACATAAATCAGTTAAACCTAAAGCTTTGTTCTGGCCAAAATCCATGAAAGAAATGGTTGCACCATTGCCATTCAGCTAATTTTTCAACTTACAATGTTACAAGCCTTGTAACCCAGAAATGCATAAAAATATTAGTCTTAACTACTGCACCATTCTGTCTATGAGTGATATAACTCTTGTGACATTTCACTTTTCTTTCCATTAAACAATACTGCATTTGGATTGATCTTTGCCAGTAGGTCAGATGCTCAGGGAAATCACATCAGCTCAATGCTAGGAAAATATTTGAGGGCAAGTGCTGTGATTTAACTTCCAACCATCTGTCAGACCAGTAAATGTCATTTTCCATGGAACTTACATGTCGCCTTTAGGTCACGGATGAATTGTCCAAGGAAACAAAATTATATCTTGGCACTCTCTTAGTAGGATGTAGTCTGTGTTTTCTTACGGTGATAGCTGTACCTAGTCATGGGTGGGGTTTCCTGCAGCAGTTTTGGTATGAGCGTAGATATGTGATTTAGAGGTTGTAGACTTGTTCTTGGCTGAGAATTTTAACTCACCCTGTTACATAATCCCTTGAGTAATAGTTATTGTGGCATTTGACCAACATATGTACATGTACATATATTGATCACATACATAAAGTTCAAACAAATTTAAAAGCTTAATTTTTCTTTGCAAAGGGATATTGCACAAAAAGTTGTGATTTGTACATGTGTGCTTCAGAAGCAAAACCTTTTGCTGCCATCCCCAAAAGGCCACCATCTGCATACCAGATATATAATGTAGCAGAAATCTATAAAGGTTCTTTGCAGACAGTAATCCTGCTCATTCCTCCATATATTTTTTTTAACTGGAATCAGAATTTTGTTATGCCAAATATTTCTAAAAAAAAGTTACTGGCATAGGTAGCAACTCACTATTTTTCCAAGTTGTTTTCTTTTTTATACACTAAATTCCTGAGGCCTACAGCCTCTCCTTCCTGTGGATAGATGGAAATTTTGATCTGGTTAAGGAATTGTTGGAAGAATTAGATAGCTATTAATAGTTTTACAAGGACTAGCTAAGATGTCCCAATAGTTACTATTGAATCCAATTCTCAAATATAAAATTTCTGTAAGTGAAGCTATCCATTTGAGTGCCTTGAAATAATGCTAAGATTTGACAGAGGAGTAGCTACTGACCATGATAGCTTATCAAGAAGAAGGAAATGAAGTGTACAGAAGGAAGGAAGGAAGGAAGGAAGGAAGGAAGGAAGGAAGAAAGAAAGAAAGAAAGAAAGAAAGAAAGAAAGAAAGAAAGAAAGAAAGAAAGAAAGAAAGAAAGAAAGAAAGAAAGAAAGAAAGCCAGGAGGAAGGATATGTCTTTCTTTACCACATTAAAATTTTCTTTGGAAATCTGATATAGAGCAGAACTTTGTTATATTGCTAATAATGTGAACCCACATTTTATGCTCTGCTTGCGTCTATTTTATTAAACCTTTTTATTACAGAAATGTCATAAAGAAATTGTATCCTGGCTCTCTGTTGAAAATAAAGTGCATATGTGCAATGGTTTATAAACTGACAGAGTTTGCTATTGCAAATGCTGCTGCAGATAAGTTTCTAGTGTGTATATAATCTCTCTATATAGCTTCATTCCGATCTTAAATATTGTATTTTATAGAAAAGTGCCTCAAAATCTACATTTTTCAGCCTGCTTTTTATTGTGCTTTAGATTTCTGTACACATTGCATGATTTGGCAGGTATTCTTCTATTGATGCAACCTATACTATGCCAGTCTCATTAAACAGATGTTTGAATGGCAAGTTTCAATTTAAAGCTTGAATGGGTTTCAATTATACTGGATTCCCAGTTCTGACTTTGAATGTATTTTTGTTTGATTGTTGACAGTTTTTATGCCACAATGGCAAGTTTAAAAAAACACTAAAAGGTCACTGAATAAAATTACAGAATTATTTAAAGCAATTAAGAAAACTAGCAAAGAAATAAACAAGCAAACAAACAGAAATTGTCAGATGAAAGATTCTGTGATCTCATGGTTATAGTGTTGTATTAAGTTTAGAAAGTCTTAAATCAAAATTCCAACTGAATTATAAAGTATATTGGGAGATCTTGGACTATTTCTTGGCCTGATTAAAATATATCATTTTCTTCCCTAGCAAGGTCATTTTTAGCAGTGAACAAGTCAGGATCATAAACCATGATTTGAACCTAATCCTCCTAAAACAACTCAGAACTTCCTAACTCTGGATTTAATGGGAAGGCATGGTTATTTGAACAAACAAAGAAGACACATATACTGTACCATAAATACATGCCACCAATTACACTTCCAAATCTATTAGAAAGAACTTTAAATGCATCCACAGTTATTTTCACTGGTACTGATCTTGAAACTTTGGAAACAAGAAACAACGATTTGCTGAAAGGAAAAGAAAAACAGTTCTAGAACAAACAGGTCTTCATTTGCACTCCATAGAAGATGGAAATTATTCATCTATCTCCTTGTTTCATGTTTTGAGTGATTACTTAGTTTTATGAAAAATCATCTGGGTGGTTGAACATAAAAATCATCAAGCCATTATTTCCCCCCCCCCAAAGGATTTCTTAGAGCAATCAAATCCAGAAGCTTTGATGCAGGGTGAACCAGGAGATCTACCTAATGATGAAACATGCCCTTACAAGCTCCAGAGAGTAGCAGCATTTCAGAACATTGTGAGGGGAAAGTGCTAGCTTCCCTTCATTTTTAGTTAACTCATACCGGTAGTAGACGCAAAAATAAATCAGCTTTACTTTTTACATGGAGTATATAATGTGAGATCTAATAAGAAGGCTGATGAGAGCAGTCAGAAATTGAATACTACTGCATGTATACTGTATGGGGTGCACAATGGCCTTATTTGATTTTTCCCCCCACTCCCGTTCTTGCTGCCAAAAGCCCACTGATAAGCTTTTCCCAGAGTTATCTTTTCCTAATCAATGTCTATGGAGATTCTCAATCATCCAGATCGTGCTCATATTGATTAGGAAATGCTTTATCTAAGAACTTCTGAAAGTCTTTTCTCTTGCTTTACACAAAAGAAGTAGGGCAGGATTCTTGATGATGTCTTCTCTATCTGCCTATCTGCTTTTGTCAGCTATCCAATCCACTCTTACCACTGACCTGCAATCAATATTGAATTTTCATGATAATAATTATTTCCTGAAGCGATCTACTGTTTGAAAGTTCTTCACTGTTGCCATCTGACTTCTTCTGCACCAAAACATAGTTTGCATCTATAAGTGGTCCTCATTTAGCAAAATGGTCATTAAGTAAAACATAACTTGTTGGGTGCCTGTTTTCACAGCTCAACAATTTCCTACTACTGTATCTCCACTTTTTTTTTTAAAAAAAAAAAAGATTTTTAGTAAAGGATTTTATAGAGCAAGAAAAGTAAACATTCAGATTTAAAGAAAAGAAAAAGAATAATAAAAAATACAGAATAAGTGAATAAGCAGAAAAGGTAAATTTCCCATGTTTTCACTGCTTACTAAAAAGTTTAATTTATCAATTCTGATTTTAGTCTTTAATTTTCCATGCTCACAATAATCCTGATATATGCCATGTCTTTGTGGCGCATAGCCATTGCATCTTGGTTTGATATTAATTTAATCTGTCTGACCTGAGCTTTCCCAGCATATTTCCTCTGCCTTCCTTCTTTGATAGGATTTAGAGCTTCGAATCAAGATTGACCAGAAAACTGTAGGCTCTTGAAAATGCCAAAACTATAGCATTTGAAATGCCTATAATTTATTTATTGATGCGATGTATAGCCAGCATTTTAGAATAGAATAGAATAGAATAGAATAGAATAGAATAGAATAGAATAGAATAGAATAGAATAGAGCTGAAAGGGACCTTGGAGGTCTTCTAGTCCACCCCCTGCTCAAGCAGGAGAACCTATACCATTTCAGACAAGTGACTGTCTAGTCTCTTCTTAAAAACCTTCTTGAATCTAAGTCATGAGTCAGTATTAGCGCAATGTTTTCCATATATTGGGTACAAAATTCTATTTTTTCCCCTTCTACAGTATTCAATTATGTTCAGTTCCCAGAGACTATCTGGACAAGTCCCTGCGCTTTTCTTGGCAAGGTTTTTCAGAGGTGTTTGCCATTGCGTCCTTCCTAGGGCTGAGAGAAAGTGACTGGCCCAAGGTCACCCTACTGGCTTTGTGCCTATGACAGGATTAGAACTCACAGTCTCCCAGGTTCTAGCTTGATGCCTTAACCTCCATGGCTGTATTGTCACAAATGACTATTCAGTCAGCAATTCCTGGAAACTTTAATATCAAGAATATATAAAAGGAATTGTAAAGAATGCTGAGTATCTATAGAACTAAAGCAAATATGTTTTGGGCTAGGATATTTCTTCACTTTCCATTTGCTGTTTTTAGTTTTGTATTTATGCTACTCACTAAAAGGATTACAGTGCAACATTAATGAATTTGTCATCATAGCAATATCTAGAATTGCTGCAGGTAAATACACTCAATATTAGAAAAAGTGTTTGATATTTAGTATGTAAAGTGAAAGTAAGATTTTAAAGATATTGTGTCCATAGGAAGAGGTAGGGTTGGTGGTTTTGGCAATGCTCAGTATGTAGAAGTGTCTGAAGAGCAACTTTACCTGAAGGAACTGATGTGATTTACAAATCAGTCTTAATCTGATATCTAGAAATATATTAACAAATGTGCTTCACAATCATTTAGATAGCAAATCCTACCCATCAGTTAAATATGTCACTGGATGCTTTTCACTGAGACAGGACCAATTTATTCCATTTGTGATCATGAGCAGGTCCATTTCAGCACATTTTGCTATTTTGCTGAATTGACTCACCTGCATCTTTATTGTTAAAAGGAATCAGTCCTGACTTTTCTGCAGATCCTTAACCAGTGGTGGGATTCAACCGGTTCGCACCACTTCGGCAGAACCGGTAGCTAATTTTTTGTTGCCCAGGCCCAGAATGGACTTCCAGAAGTGGCATCCACACAGAGAACCTGTTGTTCACATATTTGAATCCCACCACTGTCCTTAACGTGTGGTTCTTCTGATTTCAGCCCTCAATACAGGGAAATACGAGACACTACAAAAAGAGAAGGAGGAGATGGAAAAGAAGTTTGAGGGAACTGTGCAGAAACTCACTTGGCAGCATCAGGAGGAGCTCCGGGCACTTGAAGAACGTTTGCAGTTACAGTACAGTGCTGAACTAGAACGTTTGCATGAGAATCACCAAGTCAAGCTTGACAGGATCAAGAGTCAGCATCAGGAACAGGTTGGTCATGTTCATTCAGTGTAAGCTCACTCGAGGGTGACTATGCTCCATGATTTGACAGGCAGACTTTATTTCTGTAAATTGCTGCTAAAACACATTTTTTAAATCATAGCGCCAAGTCCACATGTGCGTTTGAAATAGGCACTGTTGGTTGGAGGATTTTATTATGCTGTGGATGATGGGAGGTTACTGTTTTGAGCTGGATGGTAGCAGAGCCTTTTGGGGTCATTTCCTGATTGGACCAAGCTGCAATGGTCTTCTATCACTTCTATCAAGTGATTTATATTTTTTTGCCAGGCTGTTTGGCCGTTTGGGAAGGAATCATGTGTGGTGCCCAAAGCCCATTCCTTTACCTGGGTTATGGCTTGGAGAACAAGCCCTGGTAGATTGGAGCCAGCAGCAGGGGCAGCTGGATTGTTGAATTGGTGGGTGCATGAATTGGTTGCCTCATCCTGGAGGCGTTCTGTGTGCTTTGCAATGACACTTTTACAGTTTTCATCCAGTCTCCAACCTTGACTTTTTAAGAAAAGTTGTGGAGAGTGAACATGTGTCACCTTCAAAGGACTCTGGATGAAGTACATTATCTGGACCTCTTTCAGACAGGGTTCAGGCCGGATTATGGTTCTGAGACTCATTGATTATAATCTTGGATGACTTCTAACAGGACTGGAATGAGGGTAATGCATCCACCATTGCTTTCCTTGATCTTTTAGTGGACTTCATTACCATCTATTATGGTGTTGAAAGAAAATTCTATTCTATTCTATTCTATTCTATTCTATTCTATTCTATTCTATTCTATTCTATTCTATTCTAAAATGCTGGCTATACATCACATCAATAAATAAATTATAGGCATTCCAAATGCTATAGTTTTGGCATTTTCAAGAGCCTACAGTGGTAACGGCAGACTGTGTGGGACTAAACAGTTCAATCATCAATTCCAACTTTGCAAGATCTTTTTTTTTCCCCGCGAGAAGTTGAAATTGACTGATTGAACCTTTTCTTTTTTGCACACGGCGGTGGAGGCCTAAAGCAAAAAAGTTTATAAAACCCAGCTGAAGGCCTAGGACTGGGGCGACGGCGCGCGTGCCCACAGAGAGGGCTCTGAGTGCCGCCTCTGGCACCCATGCCGTAGGTTCGTCACCACTGCCCTAGGGAAACCCCTAATTGACAAACCAAAGAGATAGAGTATATGCTGTGCATGCATAAAAATCAAAGACTCTTACTTGCAACCATGTATAATCTTTGCAAGTCAACTGTAGGGACTCATGCCATAGTTCAAGAGAGTCTGCTGTGCACCAAAAGACTTACAAATATAATCAATCAAAACATCCATAGATTCATCCATAAACAGGCTAGTTGAAAGGTGGATTGGAAGAAAATCTGTTAATCAGGTTTTTGGCTCCTCAAGCAATTACCTTTCTCACTGTTAGGAGGAACTTGCCCCCAAAAAATGTGTTTCAGATGTAAATATTCTACTGGATTAGATCTGTCAAATGTAATCTCTTGTTTTCATAACATCCAACTGTTCTTGTTTAAAGCCACCATAACTAGTTTACTTCTTCTTATATTTGTGTTTTGTTATTTAAACAGGTGGATGATATTGCAGCAACTCAGGAAGTGGCAGTATTAGAGATGGAAAATAGCCACGCAATTGCCATTGAAGAACTTCAGGATGAATTTGAGCACAAAATTCACGGTAATTCTTTAATCCTAGCAAGCACTGGATTATTCTACCATTTTAAATGATGATATGGGAGGAAGCAATTTGAGTTTGTGGGATGCCTTCCTCAGAAAAGTCCAGGAAATTATACTATATTATACAAATTCTCAAGTGTCAAGTTGAAAATTGGTTATTTTATTTTAATTTCAAGTGTCAGACTAAAACTGGGCCATGTTGGTCTAAGGCAGATATGTCAAACTCGCGACATCACATGATGTCGCGCGACGTATCAGGACGGTTTTGCCATTGCTGGCAATGGGGTGGGTGCGGCTTCCACGTGACGCGTCCAGCCCTTGGGCTGGAAGTTTGACACCCCTGGTCTAAGGGTTAAGGTACCAGGCTAGAAAGCTGGAGACTGTGAGTTCAAATCCCACTTAGCTATGAAAGCCAGCTGAGTGATTTGGGGCCAGTCATTTTCTCTCAGCCCAACCCACCTCACATACCATAGTTGTTGTGGGAAAAATAGGAGGAGGAAGGAGTATTGTTTGTTGCCTTGAGGTACTTGTAAAAATAATAAAGGCAAGATATAAATAAATACAGAAAATCTTACTTCTACAGAAAGTCACCAATTAAAGGAACGAAGAAAACTTTATAATTTAGGCAATTGATTGTAGCATAAATAAATGACTATAAATAAATTGTCACTGCTATAGTTAACCCCAATCTGATCTATGTATTCTGTCCTCTTTGACATGGACTTGGAAAAGAAGGGTGCAGGTGACATGTAGTTTCGTTCCCTGCAGTAAATAAGACTGTTTCTCCTGGCTGCCCCAATATTTTTTAGTTTTCAAATAAGGGTATAATAAGCTTCTGGAGAGTACAATTTGCAGTCAACAAGAATGTGTTCAGTGTCTTCAGTGGCTGGTGTTCCACAAATACACTGTCTTTTTTCAATTGGGACTCCATAAAACCTCCCATGTCTTACCATTTGAGCCCATTTATTCAAACTGATTTCTAGAAAAAGCTCTTCTGAGATGTTGAGGCAAATAAGATGTCAGATATTTTTATGACAGAAGCTGGCTTGTATTGAGCCAGTCACTTTAGAGACTTGACACATTTAAGTGCTGCAATATTATCTTGGGCAGCCACATCAATAATGCTTTGTTTGAAGACTTCGTTGGCCTTTAGATCTGATTAGACTGGAAATTGGATGGAGAATCCATACTGAGAGATGACATTTGAAAGTTGGGTGGCCCAGGTGTGAGGTTGCTTGTTGTGAAACTGCTCTTCTGGGTCCATGAATAGGATAGCCAATAACTGAATACATAATAATAATAATAACAACAACAACAATAACAACAACAACAACAAGCCCAACTCTGAGGCTGTCCCCAGTTGAATTGTTCTATGGGTGTATAATTCTAAAAGTCTATAATGAATGTACATTGCAACTACCTAGATTTTATTTAAATATAAAGAAAAACTTCCAGATGGGTCTCTACAATAGTGAAACAGTGCTTACTAAGGTTGTGAGTTCTCTATCTTTGAGACACGGCCAGGCATGTCTCAAGGATGGCTTAATACATCACAGAATAGTGGACTAGATGATCTTTGGGGTTCTTTCCAATTCCACAGTTCTAGGATTCTGAGATTCTATATCAACTTTTGGGATTATTATCCAAGAATCATTTTTATTTTTACTGATATCATGTCTCTTATTTTTATTTTTACTTTTACAGGGCATTCATTCAAAGAAATATTATTTTAAAAAGAAATATTTTGATTTGACATATCAAGTTATATTACACTCATTTCTCACCTTGTCCCTCTAAATATTTTGTCTATAATTCCCGAAACTCTTGACCATTGATCATGCTGATTGGGTTTTATTCATTCAAAATGTATGAAGAGTACTAAACCGTCTCTTCCTACCATCAGAAATCCGTATTAAACAACTCACAATCAATTTTTTGCTTATTTATTTAACATTTCACTTGATAGACGAAACCGAGATATATAGATAAGATAGTTCCTATCTTATGCTGGTCCATTTTACTCAATGTTATCTACAATGACAGAGAATATTTTGGGGGCCTCCATTGGGATTGTTTTGGTTTAATCTTTCTAAGATACTGTATTTATATATTAAAAAACAATGCTAACAATTCCTTTTCTGTACATATTAGTACTGATCTATGATCTCAGAAGAGCTTGGTAGGAAAATCATAAAAATTGCTCTAGTATCTTTTTGACTAGCAGTTTTATTATGACATAGTTTCCCTAGCAACAGCTTCTACCTAGGAATTTATAATCTATCAAATTTGGGCAGGATAAAGTTAAAGGCAATGGAAATGGAAATGGCCCACTAAAATTGGAGAAGCTTTGTCTAAAGCACTGCTGTAGAAATAAATATTTAGCAACAACTCTAAGATAGATTATTATTGAAAGCATTATTGACTTTCCTAAGTATGGAATCCCAATCATTAAATATCAGTACTGATTCTCAATTATACATACGCTAACCATCATTATTATTTTTCAAAGCTATTTTGGTG